GGAGTTTTCCCTCCTCTTGAATTTTCTGGAATAGTTTGAATAGAATAGGTGTTAATTATTCTTTGAATGTTTGGTAAAACTCGCCAGTAAACCCATCTGGTCCAGGACTTTTGCTTGCTGGGAGTTTTTTGATTACTGCTTCCATTTCATTAGTTGTTATCAGCCTCTTCAGGTTTTCTGCCTCTACTTGATTCAGCTTTAGAAGGTTGTATGCTTCTAGGAATTTGTCCATTTCATCCATGTTGTCCAGTTTGTTGTCATATTGTTGCTTATAGTATTTTCTTACGATCCTTTGTATTTCTGTTGGATTGGTTGTTATATCGCCTCTTTCATTTCTGATTTGGGTCCTCTCTCCTTGTTTCTTAGTGAATCTGGCTAATGGTGCATCGATCTTATTTATCTTTTCAAAGAACCAGCTCTTGGTTTCATTGATTTTTTGTATTGTTTTTTTAGTCTCTATGTCATTAACTTCTACTCTGATCTTTATTATTTTTTTCATTCTACTTCCTTGGGGCTTTTCTTGCAGTTCTTTTTCTAGTTCTTTTAGTTGTTGTGTTAGATGGTTCATTAGATCTTTTTCTTGTTTCTTGAGATTGGCCTGTAATGCTATGAATTTTTCTCTCAGGACTGCTTTCACTGTGTCACATAGATTTTCAGTTGGTGTCTGTTCATTTTCCATGAAGTGTTTGATTTCTTTCTTGAACTCATTGGTAACCCATTCGTTGTTTAATAGCATGCTATTTAGCCTCCATGTGTTTGAATATTTTTGAGTTTTTTTACAGTGGTTTATTTCTAGTTTCATGGCATTGTGATCTGAGAAGATGCTTGATATGATTTCAGTCTTCTTCAATTTGTAGAGACTTGCCCTGTGCCCTAACATGTGGTCAATTTTTGAGAATGTTTCATATGCACTTTAGAAGAATGTGCATTCTGCTGCTTCAGGATGAAATGTTCTGTAAATGTCAATTAAATCCATTAAGTCAAGTGAGTCATTTAAGGTCTTTGTTTCCCTTTTGCTTTTTTGTCTTGATGGTCTGTCCAGTGCTGACAGTGGGGTGTTAAAGCCCCTCCCCCACTGTCATTTTGTTGCTGTCAGTCTCCCTCTTAAAGTTCCCCAAGAATTTTTTTATATATTTAAGTGCTCCTATATTGGGTGCTTAAATGTTTATAAGGGTTATTTCCTCCTCTTGGATTGATCCCTTTAACATTATGTAGGGACCATCTTTGTCTCTTGTTATAGTCTTTATTTTCAAGTGAATTTTGTCAGAAATAAGTATTACTGTCACTTTCTTTTCCTTTCCATTTGCATGGAATATTTTATTCCATCTCTTCACTTTTAGCCTGTGTGAATCTTTTGCTCTCAGGTGGGTCTCTTGTAGACAGCATATATTTCGGTCCTATTTCCTTATACATTCAGCTACTCTATGTCTCTCGATTGGACCATTTATTCTGTTTACATTTAAGGTTACTATTGATATAAACTTATTTACTGCCATTTTTCCTCTTTATGCTGATGTACCTTTCTCACACTATTGCTTCTTTTTCTTAGAGCAGTCCTGTTAGAATTTCTTGCAATGCTGGTTTGGTGGTACTTAACTCTTTGAGCCTTTTTTTTTCCTTTCTGGGAAGCTCTTTATTTCACCTTCAATTTTAAATGATAGCCTTGCTGGATAAAGCAGTCTTGGTTGCATGTTCTTGCTTTTCATTACATTGAGAACTCCATGCCACTCCCTTCTTGCCTGAAGAGTTTCTATTGAGAAATCAGCGGTTAGCCTTATGGGGGTTCCTTTGTAGGTCACTGCTTGTCTCTCTCTTGCAGCCCTTAATATTCTCTCTTTGTCCTTGACATTTGGTATTTTAATTACGATGTGTCTTGGAGTGGGTCTCTTTGAGTCCCTCTTGTTTGGAACCCTCTGTGCTTCCTGAACTTGTGTGGCTTTTTCCCTCGCCAGCCTTGGGAAGTTTTCTGTCATTACTTCCTCCACAGAGTTCTCTATCCCTTGCTCTCTTTCTTTCCCCTCTGGCACTCATATAATGTGAATGTTGTTTCACTTCATTGTTGACCCAAAGCTCCCTTAGACTGTCCTCATGCTTTTTTCCCCCCAATTTTATTTTTGTTTAAAATATTTTCTCCCCAGTAACCCATTCCATCCCATCCCTTCCCCCTCCCCAGTTCCTCTCCCCACCATTGTCCATGTCCTTGGGTTGTGCATATATGCATATAAATTCTTTGGTTACTCTCTCCCCCTCCACCTACCCGCCCTCCTCCATCCCTCGGACATTCATCAGTCTCATCTATGCCTCCATGTCATTGTCCTCATGCTTTTTAAGTGTTCTTTTTGCTTCTTTCACTGAGTGATATTTTCTACCTTGCCTTCTAAGTCACTTATTCTATCCTCTCCTTCACTGAGCCTGCTTTTAATTCTTTGGGGTGTATTCTTGATATCAGATACAGCATTCTTTATTTCTATCTGATTTTTGTTTATGTTATGTATCTCTTTTTTCATGCTTTCCCTAAAGTCCTCAGTCTTATACTCTGTTGCCTTTTTTTATCATTAAGTTTCTTGAGCATCTTCATAATCAGTACTCTGAACTCTGTTTCTGATAGTTCGCTTAACTCCATCTCATCAAAGACTTTTTCTGGCATTTTCTTTTCTTTAATTTGGGGGTTGTTTCTTTGTTTCCCCATTTCAGTAGGTCTTAGTGTTTGTATCTATATGTTAGATATAGTTGCTGTCTCCCAGTCTTGTGGGGAGGGATTTTGTCTTGTGAGTCCAGTGGAGCCCAGAGGTGTGTTTTCCTTATATTTCTGATCTCTTTGCTCTAGGCATGTCCCTTTTGTGGGTGTCCCTTTTGTGGTTTCTTTATGCTCTCCTGTTATGCTTGGGTCTAGATTGTTGTTGACCAGTCCTTGGGAGGACTCTCCTCTCAGGTTGGCTAACTGTGTGTCTCAGCCCCAACCTCTCATCGTGTAAGCTGTTGTACGGGTGCTGGCAAGGCAGGACAATACACAACTAAACTTCCAGGAAACAATGGGTATCTTACAAAATATCTTGACAGTCACAGTGAAAACAACCCAAGTGAAAATGGAACTGGGAGAGTGAAGGAAGAACACACACACACACGCAGCTTAAAAGAAAAGAGAGAAAGAAAAGTAACACTTAGAGAGAGACATGCATATTATTGTTAATAGTGATGAAAATTTAGAAAATAATAGTAAACTAAAATGTGAAAAATAGGAAGCTACTGGAGATAATAGAGGCAGAGAAAAGATTCTGAAAGAAGGGCCAGCAAAAAATTAAGGGAGAGAATAGGAATAGGATAATAGTTGAAAATGAGAAAATAAAGATACAATAAAGAGAATAAGAGAAACTAACAATCAAACAAAAAGACAGGAAGACAGAATGGAGGATAACAAAAGAATGACAGGAAAGAAGAAGAAGGAAAATGAAAAAAAAAAAAGTTATTCCAATGGATCGAGAGGAGAGAGAGAGATAAAGCCTGGACAGGGAAGGTCCTATAAGAGATTTGTAGGAAACTATAGAGAAAAGCAGTAATCTTGGTAATAATGATAAAGTCCTAGTCATTAAGCAGAGATATCAAGAAAGTCTTGATATTAGAATCAAGGATAAAACAAGTGGCTTTGTCTTTAAATCCCTAGTTGAAGGACTTCCATTCAGCTAGATTTCAGGTGGTTCTGAATGATGATTTTTCTGTAGTTTAGTTGTAATTTTGATGTTAATCTCCATTTTAAAGGCGATGTGTAGGTTGGTGTGATGATTGTTGGTGGTAGTAGTGTATGTGTATGTGTATGTGTATGTGTGTTGAGGACAAATCTGGAAGGGAGGTAATGAGTAATGGAGCACAGGGAGAGCACCAAGCAGCAGAGAGAAATTAATGTTTTCAAATATAAATATCCTAAATTTGTTTCTTTTTCTGTTCTATACACACACACACAAAAACCCTACAAATGGATACTTAATTTTCTCTGAGCCTCCAGAATGAATATTCATTTTTCCCCCTGTATTCCCACCTCTTTTGTAGAAGATACGAATTAAGAGGTTTAAGCTGAGAACCCTCCAGTCTTTGTGAAAGGGCCTAAAAGAGCATTGTAGTTTGGTGTCTGTGCTGTTCCCCTCCCTTGGGACTCCCTATGCTCTGACGGCCACCGCTCTTCCCTCTAGCATCCAAGCCATGATGGATGGCCCTTTTCATAGGACTAGGTCCTTCTCCTTGATAGATCTGTATAGAAAAAATAATGGGCAGTGCTAGTCAGTCTCAGGTCTCGCTAACACAGTTGGTTTAGTCTTATGACTACTTAACCTTCATGTGTCTGTTTTATATATTTTCATTCTGGTTACACATCCCTCCATCATTTTTCGGTAAAAATTATATCAAATTATTGTGTCGTCTAAATTTTCCTTTTTGCTGTTTGAGTCTATATTTATTTCTTTGATCATAATATCTTAGCCTGAAAGCCTCTGATCTTCACTGTAGTAAACTAGTACAAGGCTAATATCTGTCAGCAAACATTGGATTGCTGGATGTTTTAGTAATTGCCTTCAAATGTAGTAACAAGGCTGCAGATTTTGTGAGTAGTGGCTTTAGGGAAATCAACCTATTTTCAATATTGAATTCCAAATTACTGTGTATTAATACATCTGTCTCCTGCTTTTTTATTTCAGTACCTACTAGAAATGAAAAGCTTAATCCTACCCCCAGAACATATCCTGAAGAGAGGGGACAGTGAAGCTATAGCATATGCATTCTTTCATCTGGCACACTGGAAGAGGGTGGAAGGGGCTTTGAATCTTTTGCATTGTACATGGGAAGGCAGTAAGTAAATTTCTTTCTTTGAAACTTTTTTAAGAGTGTGAAAAGATGCTAAACCTTTTACCCTGATTGTCCATGATGAATAATGATTTACACAGCAATATCTGTTCCTCTCCGTGATATTTCATCACTGTTGAAATGATTAATTACTCAGCCTCTCCATTTCCTCGGTAGTGGTGGGTGCTGCTGTGGTGGTGCCATCTCAGCAGCTCAACAGACCAGTTTCTACAACAGACAGGATGAACCTAGACGTCTCTGGCAGAGGAGCACTCTACGAACAGAAAACCGTCTTCGGAGACCTGGACAGCCCCTTAGCATTGTGGGAGTCTTTGGCTTGGGGTTAGGCCTTGTGCTGGGCTCTCATTACCACTTCTAGATGGCCACTTCTGGATGGGTTGGCTAAAGAGTCACAGTTCTCCTTTCCTGGAGACAGGTGCCAAACACAAATGAGCAGCAGTCCTCCTTCAAAACAGAGCAGTGGCCATTGGGCCCTAGTGTCTGGTGGCAGGTTATGTTAGACAGCTGTAATATCTATTAGCTACCATCATTCTTTGCAAGGAGAAGAGGCTCTAATGGTGGGTGAGACATGCCCCCTGCCCTGGAGAAATGTCTTGTCTAGTTGAGAGTAGTAACCAGCAGCATGTAGCAGCTGCCCAGTGATTCTTCAGAAGGGAGAAGTCTTTGGAGTGGAGTGGTCATGTATAACCTTACAGATCACGATTTGAACCAAGCCTGGAAGAACTGAGACAGTATTAAAAGCAAGGACACTGGGAGAATGTAAATTAAGGAAAAGGCCCAAGACTGTGGATTATTGGACAGCACGTGTTCTGACACTCAGTTATCATTAATTTAAGCAAAACAAGTACAACATGTAGAATGAGTGTTTCCCCTCCTTTCCTGGGGAAACAAAACAAATACTAGAGTCTTCTGTTAATTTTTTCGTAGTTCATCCCCACTCTAATCAGCTTCATTAAACGAATGTCTCTTTAATCCTTTCACTCTGTTTATCTTAGTGGCTTCCATTTTCTTTTTTATAACCTGCGCCTCCCTTTTCCTGTCCTTCCCTAACCTAGCGGGAATCTAAATTGGTGTAGGAAGGGAGTTGGGATGGGGGCTGGGGAGGAGGGGCAGCCAAATGGGATGGAGTAAAAGTAAGTTGACAGCTGGGACTCAAGTTGATTGAAAGTCTTTTGTTTAGTTGTTTTGAAAATATTTCTTTCGAGAATTAACAGTGGGTCTACTTAAATAATTTACCATTTATAACATGAGGAATGTTGATTTGATCAATGCTTCTACCCCCCACCCACTCTGTAAGTGCATTAACATATTCCAGGTGTCCTGGTCCTGGAATTTGGATGTGTTAGGACAGCACACTCTACTCAGGCATGTGTGGGCACATGTACAGTCCCCTCTGGCTTAAGCTTATCATTGTTACATTTAAGGTGTTCTACCCAGACAAGCAAAAGGAATTTTTATTTAAACATGATGGGGAAAATAAAACAAAAACAAAACCAGAAAAATCCCAGTAAGATTGAACACGAGAGGCCTCAGCTAGTTGTGGATAAATGCACAGATTGACTTACCAAATAAGGACATATTTATAGATTGGCATCTTGGAAACATAGTAATAAAAGCTTATCAATTGGATCCGATTGAAAAAAAAGTTACCAGTCCTATAGAAAGGATCAAAAAAGTTGGGCAGGGGCAAGAAGTGAGAAATAATAGCATAATTATAAAAAGAAATTCTATGAGAAATAACTGAAAATTGTTTGGAAATTAGTTACTCATATAATCGTTGAAGAATGGACAGATGCTTTGGATCAACTGGAAGGACAATGAGATTTCAAGAAATGTGAAGTGACATAGAAGTGAGCTCCAAAAGCAAACAGGATTTTTGGGAAATGTAATCACTTCAGATTACATGGGCAGAGCACTTTATTAGAATTTTAAAAAGGAGATGAATTTTTAGACTTAAAACAGTATGGCAAGGCAACCAGAGACCTATAGGAAAGAGAAATTCTGCACTTGGTTCTTACTGATAAATAGGAACCACTCCAGGGAAGTTACACTGCTCTTCAGTTTTCAAAAAGAGATCCGTGAGAGTGCTTACCGGGTGCTAAATGCCTTGTAGAATACCAGGAGCCTTAAAGAGTGTTTTGTATAACTGGGTAATTCTTTGGAGGGTTTGCACATACATCATTTCATGTACTCTTCCTGATAATGTTCTGAGTTAGGTAGGACAGAGGTGTCCATCTCAGTTGTTCAAGGGAGGAACAGATTCATTGAGATGAGTGACTTGTTGAATGTCGTGCAGCCATTGTTGGTGGAGCCAGGATGTAAACCCAAGTTCACTTTTTCTTCACTCCTCTTTTCTGTAATACCAGCTGTTTAGGCCTTTCTTGAATAGAATAAGGCTAAGAGGATCAGTTATCTTTGAAACATTTGCTTGGAAGTCCTCAACTTTCACATCACTACTTATAGGCTGGAGTATACTTACCTCCCTTCCTGGTGTTTATAAAGTTAATCATTCTATATAAAACCGAATTTTTATTGTTGAATACTGACTTAAATTTTGTAAGTGTAGAATGAGCCCGTTTTTATAAAAAAATTAATTCTATGTGTAAACAAAGAGACTGGAAATAAATACATCTTTAAATGGATTGCAAGTGATTTTTTTTCCTTCATATTTGTACTTTTCAAATTTTCTACAAGCATATATATTTCCTACAAGCATAAATATGTGTATATATGGATGTGTATGTATATATACATAAATTTAGAAAAATAATCTTTCATTACAAACACTTTTGGTTCCTTTTGAAAACAAAGCTATAAATCTGTCATGCAATTTAGATGAAAGAATTGCCACTCCAACTTTAGACAATTGTGTGCAATCTTTTGCCATTTCTTCTAGATCAGTGCCCATTCAAAGTTAAATGGAATCATCAGAATTCTGGATTTTATTTTATTTTAATTTATTTTTTAGTGAGGTGTAATTGATATATAGCACATTAGTTTCAGGTATACAATGCAATGATTTGATATTTGTTTATATTTAAGATCTGTTCTCTTAGTAACTTTCAAATATGCAATGTAGTATTAACTGTATCCACCATGCTATACATTATATCCACCATGCTATACATTATCTCACTTATTTACCGTGTAACTGAATGTTTTTACCTTTTGACCTCCTTCACCCATTTCACCCCCACTGCTCCTATGGCCAACCTGTCCTCTGTATTTATGATGAGCTCTGGATTTTAAATCAGAGGACTTGGATTAGAATTCTGACGTGCCTACTTACAGTGGTATTTACTTAACCAATTTTTGAGCGTTATGAAGCACTGACGATATTGAAAGCCCCCGGTTGGTGGGCTTCAGCGCAGTTGCTCAAAGGATAGTTGAAGTACCTGAGCTGCTGCCTCTGCTTTCTGTGTGTTAGTGGGCCTGCCCTGGGCACTGGGTGGTGCCAGAGCGCAGGACGCTACACTTCCTGCAGTCCACCACATGGTGGCGCCTTTTGACATCTCCAGCCTCATAGTTCAGATTTTTCTCCTTTAAATCATGTTTTCCTTTCTGAAATTTTAGGGCATCCCCCAACTTCCTTCCAATGTCCCATTTTCATTAGAAATGGAATTCAGAGAGGAAGGTAACAGTATCTAATTTTACTACTTTCCACATTAAAAATGAGTATTCTTTTGGTCAATTTATTTTTTGGAGATTAAAAAAAATTATGTCAGAAGTGTTGTTTAGGAATGGAGGTTTATTTTGCTTTGCTCTTTAATGTGTTTTTTTTTTAAATGTTGGAGCGTTAGTCATCTTGTGGGATTAAGTGAGTTTCCCAACAATCAGGCTGAAATAACTCAACATTTTTGATAAAACCCCCAAATCCAGCTGATGCATGGCAGAGATTGTTTGGGTTTGAAACATATGGTGGTTTAAAAAAAAAAAAAAGAATCCTCAAACCACAAATACATCAGCATTTCAAAGGTTTCTAAAATGTTTGATTCATCACTGTCCCAGCCCCTGAAATTATACAATATGTTCCTTAAAGTCAGGATAATCAAGAAAGGAGAAAAGTTTTAATTTACAAGATTTAAAAATATATTTCTCAGTTCATTACACAGCTGCCACCTTATCTGAATTATACTTATTTTAAACACTGTAGGTTCTGGTTATCCTCATACACACCACACTCACACACATACACACCACTTGCAAGTATGAGTTGAATATAAAAAACATATATAAATGCAGGATTTCACTTGAACTGGGCCTTATTTACAATGGTATTGTGCGTTTGGGGCCCTATTTTAAATGGCACATTTTCTGTTTTACCTATATTAAATACTTATGTGGCCTTATCTCCCTCTTCCCTGCACCTTTTCAAGGTTGTTTTGGTTGCATTTATTTTATAAAGCAGGGTAGTCTGCTGACTTCAACTGTAAACTTTAAGATTTAATTTTCTAGTTCTATATATCAGAAGACTGGAATGCCATGGGGCACATTACTTAGCCTTTCTTTGTTTGCATTTATTCCACTTTACCAAGTAAGACTCTTTATTTTCTTTTTGGAGATTTTCCCCCCAAAGAATTCACTAAATAATGTATAAGATATGAAGGTGGTGTTTTTTAGGGGGACTAAGGCAGAATATTTCCTTTGAGAGGAGAAAATAGCCCATTGTTGAAGCATAGGATGAAATTCTGATTCTAATTTATTCTCTTTGAACCTAATGGTAAATGCTACTTGCTGTAAGATGTGGGCCTTCGGGCATTTCCTCTAACTAAACCTTTCCTCCAAAAGGCTGGCACCTTTTGGACTGCTAAGGAGAGATCCCCACCCCCACTGCACCACCCCATACATCTAAGGGTTTGTTTCTTGGGAGAAAGCAGTGGTCAGCTAAAGTTCCTGGTGATAGTTACCATTTACGAATAGTCAGTCTCCAGATCCTGGAAGATGCTTTCCCACCTTCTGCCCAGTGAGCCCAGCTTGCTCCTTTCTTTTATTCAGTCTTGGTGATTGACCACAATTTGGATCCACCTGAGTTTTTAAAAGGAAAATTCTGCTCTTTCTAATTGTGTATTAATTTGTTCATTTTTTTACTCAACAAAACTTTATTGAGTCCCTCTTTTGTGCCAGGCATTGTGTTGAGGATACCAAGATGGATTAGACTCTGAAATGCTTTGGGAGAAACGTATATGTGTATACATGTGTACACGTATACTCACATATACATATACATATACATATACGTGTGTGTGTGTGTGTGTGTGTGTGTGTAAACAGTACTCTCATGGAAGTAGGATGCTAGGGTTACTAACAAGTTATGAATTTGCTGTAAAACTCTAGAATTTCTCTTCAGAATTAGAATGGAGCATCATTTAATCTAACCAAAGGAAACTGATTTTCTCAAGGCCATGTAACTAGATACTGAAAAAATGTGAATAAGAACCCAGGCTTTTGACTTCTGTACTTTCTTTGTTGTTGTGTCCAAACGTCTCACAAAAGACAGATAGCCTTCTTGGGCAGTTTCCTAGTGTTTTAATGATAATTTTCTATCATTTGTACTTCTAATTGTTTGCAAACAAGCAGCATTTTTATTTATAAGCTAGCATATGACCTAATATAGAGAATGTGAGCTTTTTAGGGTTAGTAGAAAGGGAGGGTAAAGAGAAAACTGACTTTTATTGAGCAGCCAGGCACTGTGTTCATTTACCCTTGACCTCGGCTGTCACGTGTAGTCCCTTTAGGAGCCTTGTGAGGTCTGTGGTATTCTCATTTTTATAGACCAAGAGACTGGACACAGATTAATGACCCACCCAATGACATGCAGTTGTTAGCCTGGTCAAGTTCAACTCACCCTTTAGCTGTCACTTCCACTCCTCCTCCTCTAGATAAGCACAGCCCCATGGATCTCTCCTACCAGGAGCTGTCACAGTGGGAACTTTCAGATTATTGAGTTATTTTCATGATTATTGGGTCATCCATTTTCTGCCCTGGGTGGTAAGCTCTGTCAGTGCAGAGCCATGTGTGCTAGGCTCACTTTTCTATAGGAAGACACTCACATGTTTAGGAGATAGAGCTGGGATTCAAATTCAGTTCTCACTTTTACAAGTAATCTGTCTGTATAAAGGTCTCTGAGATCCTCTCTGGAAAGACAGTATAGGCAAACGAAACATCAGACATTACCTTCTATCCTTGTCTGTATCGTGGGTAGGATGAGAAATCACGGGGAAAATCAGGTATGAGCTTGTTCACGTATCCGTCCTTTTGTCCACTCTTTGGTTCTGTTGATTTTTTTCTTCAGTATTGGTGGAGAGTGTCTGCTAAGCAGTGCACTTTATAGGCTCAGAGCCTAGAAAATGAGTCTGGTCAGGGATGGAAGGTGGCAGTGTAACACCTCAGACTTGACCATGGAGCACCTGACGTGTTCATTAACTGATTCCCCATCCGTTTCACCCCTCACCAAGGTCATGGCAGAAATCCAAGTAGGAAAGGAAACACACACATGTCATTTGTGTGCCATGTGGTAACACGGAGTTGCCTAGCTTTTTTGTTTTGTTTTTAAACAAATACATGTTATCTTTAGTTGCTTGGAAATACATGTTTTCTCAGAAAAGATTTTTAGGAGGTTTGTGATCACTCATGAAATAGATCAAATTCATAAAATAGATCAAATCACCCTTTTTACATTCTTTTTTTAATATTTTTTTTATTGATTTCAGAGAGGAAGGGAGAGGGAGAGAGAGATTGAAACATCATTGATGAGAGAGACACTGATTGTCTGCCTCCTGTATGCCCCTCACTGGGGATTGAGGCCAAAATCGGGCATGTGCCCTGACCAGGAATCAAACCATGACCTCCTGGTTCATGGGTCGAAGCTCAACTACTGAGCCACACCAGCTAAGCAACCCTTTTTCCTATTTACAATGCCAAATCAGTGTGTTAATATTTGTCCTTGCAAAATTTCTGGACATTTAGTTAAAGTCACAAGGTTCTCATGGAGCAGTTACATACACACTTTTCGGGGAAAGGGACCAGGAGGTGGGAGGCGAAGCTGACAAGGCATGAGCAGCGCCTCTTCCCTCTCTCCAGACTAACACTGCTTATCTCACACTTTACTGACCCTGCATGGCAGGGTGGCTGAAGGATAGAATTATACAAACAGAAATTGTATTTGCTTTTGTTCAGTGAAGCCAAAAGCCTTAATATTATTTTATGAACTCAGTGTAGGTAACAATTGACATGAGAAAGAGAGCAATTTTAAAGAATACCTTAATACACATCTTTACAATCATGAGGGTAGAGGGGGACAATGCAAGGTGTGTGTGTGTGTGTGTGTGTGTGTGTGTGTGTTCTTTTTTAAGTTGTGTGTAATCAATGTCTCTACCCTCTCCAAAAAGACCAGAACTGATTAGAAGAAAAATGCTAACTTGATGCACAAAATTCAGAATGCATGCTAAATAGTGGAGTGAAAAAAACATTTGGCATCTGACTGAAAAGATACCAGCTAACCATTTGATTTCCATGGTTGAACACTCTCAAGATCTTGCATTCCTATATTTCATTTTAAAAATTGCTCCCTGACATGCAAACTGGATTCAAATTTTGAATAAAATCTAGCATTCAAATTTATAGCCACTTTGAAAACTGAGGGTTTATTTATATCATATAAACCTGAACAGATTCTTAACTGTAGCATCCCAGTTGCACATGGAGAATCTGGATTTCAAAAAAAGAAAAAGAAAAACTTCCGCACACATTTTTCTGCATATTTGGGATGTTTTTAGAGGAGCCATCATTTATGGAAAATGGTATTAAAATCCTGCCATATCTCAGTTTAAATTTAAATGCACCACCTCCCAGAAAAGATTATAGTGTATTCTACAAAGTCACTAAAAGGGCTTTTTTGGTTTTTTTCCTTCTCTTGCAAGCTTAGTTCTATTGAGAGAGATGCGGTTTCTTAGAGTGATCTTTGTGTGTTAACAACCTGTGTGGAGAGCTCTCTCTTGGCTGGTTGTAGCGGGCAAAAGTCATCTTTGTTTGCATGAAAGTTAAGGTCTGATTGAACTAGGGTGAGCCTTTCATTTTAAGAACATTTAAAGACTGGGGTGTTTTTAATGTTTTAATCTCTGTGTAAGAGGTTTCTGTTATGAGAGGAAAATTGATAACATTTTTAACTCAGCAAACTGCCAGCAAACTGGCTCTGCTCTAATCCCACGTTTATAGTGATTTATATTCTCCGTGGCAATGTGCTGTAACCTCAGAGTGATACCACTGTGGTGTAGATTGACTGCATTCCAAATGCTGGAATCACATACATAATGTTTTTACTTTTAAATAATATTCAGACACCAGAATAAATACCATATGTGCACTGATGCTGGTTACAATGGAACCTTGTCATTTCTTGTGAGGGAGACATTCTTTGTTTCTGATTCCTGTTTCAAATAAGTATGCAAAAGATAAATATGTACATTGACAGCATTTTGAGAAGGTTTAGGTAATCACACAGCTAAGGATGTAGCTACAATCCTTGAAATGTTGCATTAAAACTAAAAAGAATCCTGTGTCACCACCACCCCTCTTTGACACATATGAAGGCAAGGATTGATATCTAACATTTCCCAGTGTAGGGTTCAGTTTTTATATTTTATATCTACATCATGCTGTAGTTAAAGGACATCTGTTGAAGAAAAATCACCTCCATGAGCACTGTTCATAGGAACAGTGAGACTAACATGCTGATGACATTGTAATAGGGAGAGTAACACATGTGATAATGGGAAGGGATAGATTGATTGGAAAGCCATAATTCAATGTGAGACCTAATGTTATCTGATACCACAAAATAGAATTTAGGTGGCCTGACATCAAAATACAGATAATCAATCTCTCCTGATTCATTTTTCCCACATGATATTGAAGACTTAAATGTTTCATAAAGTTTAGAAATACCTCCCAAGTCATGCATTTTTAGATTTTGTTTTTATCCATCTTGGTTGTAATTCTAATCCACCTAGACATATTTTTAAAGTAGACATGGTAGAATGCCTTTCATATTTGTACATCTGTAACAGGGTCCAAGTCAATCCACATTTCTTCTTGGAGAAGTGTTTCAATCCAGGTTTGCACTATTCCCATCAGTTGAGCTATATTGAATTAGTGCTTTTGACATTTTAATAATATTTTGTAGATGAGGAAATTCTGGGCATTGGAATTGATGGCTTCCCTACTCCTCTGCACCCCTATCCCCACCCAGTTTTGTGAGGTTTGCCCAGAATATATAGTGTGAGATTAATGTGTGAGTCATACATCATAATGCACCTCTGACAGTTTATCTGGCACATGACTCAGAGTTTGGGGAAGTCTTGCATTCTGGGAGTTATTTGTAGAAGTGTTCCCCGTCATAAAAATGCTCAAAAAGCCCTTTTTGAAGTTGAGAAGTTATGAGACAGATATTGAACCTCTAACATATTATCTCTCCTTTTCAGCGTTTCGGATGATCCCTTATCCCTTAGAGAAGGGGCATCTTTTTTATCCTTACCCGATCTGTACAGAAACAGCAGACCGAGAACTGCTCCCGTGTAAGTCTCACCCCTCTATGTGGTCTTCAGCCAGTGAGGGGAGTGTGCCCGAGAGGGGATAGGGAGAGTTGGGATGATAAATGTTTATAATGTTCCTTGTCTTTTATTACTCTTCTCCCAGTCCCTGTCCTTATTTGATAGCATATGCATTAAAATGGGTTATGTGAGTGGGTTTGGTTTCCTGCTCCTCCAAATTTCTTCAGATTTGTCAAAGGGTAAGACCCCAGAGGATTGAAATTTAGATCAAGAGGCATCGTGTTGGTCTGAGCACAGAGACCTCTAGTTTGGGGCTAATGTTGAGTGGGCTGGTCCAGTGTGCAGAGTGCTGCCTGGGCTTTCCTCTGGTCACATGACTGAAGTTTGTAGAGGAAGCACTTACTTCAGAGGGAGCTGCAAATGAGTCACTGATGGGAGGGCAGCACCAGGACCCTGGCATCTTTGCCAGAGGTGGAGTCATGGGACGGGGCGGGCGTGCTCTCTGTGGTGATGCAATGCTCTTGGCCAGAAGGATTTCCCGTGAGCATCTCGGGGTTGCATGTAGTGAGTTGGTGTACCATGTGCAGAGCACACGTGCAGCCTCAGCACTGTATATAGCACAAAGAGGGACTCTGCCCTCAAGTGCTGGACGAACTAGCAGTCTGGCCCATACCACGTGTGGAAAGTATGATTTGGTTTACTGTAATACAACATTGTTTTGACAATTCTGGCTAACTAGTTATTATCAAATCATACTGTGCATGAGGATCATGTCCAGGCTCTTCATGTGGCCCTGACTTAGGACATATTTTTCTCCCTCAGATAATGAGCTCCAAATTTTGGCTATTCCCTCTTTCCCATCCTCTCTCCTGCCACCCGCTCCCTTTTACTAGCCCCATTTATATCATACCTCATAACTGAAACATATTTAAATACGTTGCCCAGAGGAATAGTGTAACTTTGGAGCCCTGAGTGCGTAGTAAATTGTCCAACACCAGCATTATTGAGCCAGTCATAAATCTCCGACATGGTTGGGTCTGGGTGCAAAACGAATCAACATCTTAAATTGAAGTAGCAGGAGGTGGCTCACTTGTTTCCTTGCGAGCCAGCCCCAGTGTGAGCTTTGTTACTTAGGGAACTGGGAGATCTCAGTGACCTGCTGTTCCTCACTGTTCGAGTTTGATTGTGAAAAAGGTCTGGTGTCTCACACTACATTAGGTTTGATTTCAGAAATCCCTGTTATGGGCCCATACTTTACCTTTTGACTCCCCCTTCAGGGAGATTCTTGTTAAAGTTTCAGCTTTCTGGTATGATAGACAGTTTTCTGAAAAGTACACTATTTTAAATGTTTTAGTTGAATCCAATTACGTTTCCATGGGGATAGAGTCACTATTACAACAAGATTACAGTTCTTAAAAGAAACTTTACAAGAGTAAACTTTATAAGCCTGAAATAGAAAATTATGGCTCACATTTATTTAATTGAATGCAGTGGTTCAAGTCTGGGCTCCCCTCAAAATTTTTAGGGGGTTAGGTTTTGAGAGTGGGGATAGGGAGAAGGTCAGTTGTTTTAAATGCTACCCACATTTTGTACATTAAGTGTTGCTGTTGCCACAGTGTCCCTGAGTACACCTCCACCCCATGTTTGAATCCTAGCAGGTTGACTTCCCTGGATTCAAGTGTGTGTGGTTGGTTGCACTTTGTCCCTTTCTCGCTCCCAGCTGCTCTCACCCTCTGTTTCAGCAGAGTGGATTACTGTTTAGGGATCTAAGTAATGAGAGCCCAGTAGTCCAAGAAAGACCTTTTACATCTGGGATTTGCTGAGGAAAGTGGAGCACTTGGATCCTTCTGGTTCAAGTGATAATATTGCTCACATGCAGTTTCACTGCTTCCCTCTACCAGGGCCTCGGGCAACTGGTGCTTTTCTTTCTGGCAGGACAGCCCCTACCTCCCTGGTCAGCACCCATACCCACCGAGGTCACAGGCAGCAGGGGAGTTAATTTTCTCAGCTTTTGTGGCACAGTTCTTTGGTTTCCCCAAATCCAACATTTGAAATTTAAAAGTTATAGAAGGTGCTCTAAAGAGTGCCAGTTATTTATTTATTTTGATGGTGGTTGGAAGTATATTTGTCATCAAGCATCTCCTACAATTGTGCCAGGTGACCCTCGAAGCCTTTGTCTCGAAGCCCTGCAGATTGAATCGGCCAGCAAGAGGTCCTTGCTGAATGTCTCTCTATCTGGATGGCACCTCCATCAACATACCTAGAGTGCACCAGGAAAAAATACAAGATAAACTAATATTGCTGCATTTAATGATTAAAAATTAAAGGAAGGTGAAAATCTAGATACAGGATTTTTTTTCAGTATACTTGACTTTGGATTTTCCAGGTTTTATGCAATGAACATGTTTTATAATTTGAATAAAGCTTTGCTTCATTTATGTTTGCTTTTGAGAAAGGAATATTATATATTAGGCATAGATAGATAGAAGTACTGTCCCTGCCCATGAATGTGTGACATCCCCAAATGGGCTCTATCATGCTTCTAGATCGCTAAAGGTTGAACATGAATTTGGGGAAAGCAGTTAGGCAGCCAAAGGCTAGCTCTGATGTTGACTGTGGTTTGTTCAAGAGTCGTGCCTTTTTCATTTGCAACAGGCTTCAACCAAAGCTCTGAAGAGTCCATTCCACATATAGAAATTCACTGAGAATGCATTTTGTTCCAGCCCTGATATTTCCCTTCTGATCTTCTCTACAGCTTTCCATGAAGTCTCAGTTTACCCAAAGAAGGAGCTTCCCTTCTTTATTCTCTTTACTGCTGGATTGTGTTCCTTCACAGCCATGCTGGCCCTCCTGACACATCAGTTCCCAGAACTTATGGGGGTCTTCGCAAAAGCTGTGAGTATTTGCCAAGAGGGAGGCCTCAGGGAAGGGGCAGGAAAAGCAAGAGAAGCAACATAAGAGAAATGGGAAAGTATTGTGTAGAAATGGATATGCCTGTATTGATCATTTGCTCACTGTTTAATTTTCCTTATCAGCGGAATCAAAGGGTTGAGGGGTCAAATGAGGAAGTGTAGATTGTTTGCTAATGCGTGCCTTGCCTGGTTTCATACACAAGAAATTCTCAGCAGTTCCCCTCAAATGCATAAGGTCAAAAAGGATTAAATAATTAGCAAATGAAAAATATGTGGGAGATTATTCAGTTTTCTATAAATTGAATGACATTATTTCCAATCGTTAGATATTGTGGGTCTTTTTTCAAGAACAGTGAGATTTACATTTTCAAAGGTAGTTTAAATTTTAAAAATTGTAATGGTTACAAACATTTCACTTGTTTAGGGAATGAACTGAGGGGGTGTGAAGGGCTTGTAGTAGTAAGAAGTATACACATGACACTTAGAAATATGGAAACCCACTAAGAGCCTCTAAGGAAGGTTGTGGAGAGAAGCTTTAATCAGAAAAGCCATGTGCATTGAAAATCAAGAACCATTGCTTCCTTGTTGAAAACTGGCCATTTCAACCTACACATACAGTGAGGGTAAGTTTACTAATTTTGCCACAGATGAGTTTCAAACAGAAGAAATAAGGAAAAGCATATCCATTGTTTTTCTGGAACTCCATTCTGATTTCAAGGCGAGTGGAGTCAGGAAGAATGATTTTTAACTTGGCTGGGTTGATGTCATCCCTTTTCAATGATTGACATTTTCTGCTTGGCAGAGTTCAGGGGCTGAAATTGCAAGAGTATTTTCATACGTGTTGAAGATGAAATGGAAATCCCACCAGCACCTCAATCTCAGCATTTCCAAAACTGAACTCATCACCCTTCTTCCCACCACCAAAATCGCTCTCCTCCTATATTCCTGACCTCCACCAGTGGCACTAAGTTACTCAGGCCAGAACCTCAGCAGCCCTCCTGAGCTCTTCCTTTCTTAACTCCCCACATCCCATGTGTCTCAACCTCCAAAATCTGTTGGGTGTAACCTCCTAAGCCACTAGACATTCAGTCAATGTAATTCACATCTTCCTCTCCTCCTCCTGCCACGACCTCTCTTGGTTTAGGTCTTCATTATTTCTTGCTTGGAATCCTACAGAAGTCTTAACTGGTCTCCTTGCTTCCAGTCTTATCCTTTGTCAGTCTTTCTTTCATACTGACACAGAAATGATCTTCCTAAATTGCAAGTCTGAGCATTCCTTGCTTGAATTTCTCCAATGGTTTCCCACCATCTTCAAGATAAAGTACCAGCTCTTTTGCATGGCATGCAAGGTCCTTTATGATCTGGCCCTTGTTTGCCTCTCCAACCTCATCTCTCCCAACTCTTGCGCAGACACTGCTCTTGGGACATAGTGAATTACTCATCCTTCCCAGATGCACCGGGGTCTTATACACCTCTGTACCTTCGCATGTGCTATTTTCTCTGCATGGAATGCTCTTTTCCATCATTATCCCCACTTTGTCCACCCTACTAATGCCTCTTTATTCTCTTGTACTCAGCTTTCTTTCTAAGTTTCTCCTACACAGAGTTAGATATCCCCTCTGTGATCCCACAGTATTCTGTGAATATATTATCACATTTATTGTAATATTATATAATTTTTGAAAACTTGTCCCCCTTTTAGAATGGGAGCTCCTTGAGAGCAGGACTGCCTTTCTCATCTCTGTATCCCCAAAGCTTAGCACAGTGCCTTGCACATAGTAGGTTTCCAATAAATGATTATTAAATCAATAGATGGTAGTGGAAAGAATCAATGTAAAAATCAGATACAGTCTAGAATTTCTTCTCTTCTTTTATACTTATAATTGTAGACTCTTAGAGTTGAAAGGGACCTTAAACAAATTGCTTTCAAGAGGAACATGATGGAGATAATCTAGACTCATCTTGAATACTTTCAGCAATGGGGAGCTCACCTATTCAACATCAAACTACATTTTATTGTTGGGTCACTTAGAACTTTTCTTTATACTGATAAAATTTATCCCTTTAATTTCCACTCTTGTTCCTGTTCTACCCTCCAAAACTATAGTAAACAAGCCTATTTTCTCTTGCAAATTCTTAAGTCAGCTAATACATTGATGGCCACCTCTAACTTCTGATTCCCTACCTCCTCTTTTCTCCAGGCTGAGTACCTTAAATTTCCTTATGTCTTCTCTACATGGCATGATTTCTGCACCCCATAAAAATATATTTACATTAGACAATTGCTGTCCCTCCTATGTTCATACTCAAACATTTTTAAGGCATATTTGTAAAAGTATGTTATTGGCCCCATATTCTTCTTTAAACTAAAAAATAGTACTTGATGGGAGTTTGGGATCAGAACAGAGGTTCTCAGCCTCTAGTATGCTGAGAAAATTCACCTGGCCCCACCACCAGAAATTCAGAATCGTGAGTGTTAGCACCCAGGAATCTGTGTTTTTAACAAGGACCCCAGAAGATTGAGGACAGCGATTGAGGACCACATTTCCTTTCAAGAAGGTTTACAGGTGTGTGGTGTGCTGTCAGAGTTGTTGAGGTGAACACTTTCCAGGAATCAGTGGTTTCACCCTGGCTGCACCCTGGAACCAGCTAGGGAGATTAACAGTTACAGATGCCTTCCCCCCAGCAATCCCCAAGGGAGTCTCACTTGATTGGTCTGGGATGCAGCATGGGCATCTGAGTTTTCAGACACTCCCTAGGTGATTCCAGAATGGAACCAGGGCTGTGAGAAACACTGCATTGAATGAAAGGACTAATCTCCTGAAACTGCTTTAAGGAGGATGGGATTGAGAGGATGGGGAAATAGTAAATAGAATAAGACCGAGTGTTCTCTAGGAAAGGCTGTGCAGCCTCCCAAGTATGAGACGTGTTCATTACGAATTTTAGAGAAAGAGGCACTCTCCTTATTCAATGTTTCCAGGTTTTGGTTTTGAGTCTCAGATCAAATGACTGAATAAAATGTAAATTTGCCATTGCTGGGCTCATATTTTATACTCTACCAGGGTGTGGTCATTTGTTCCACTACTTGTAATTTTCAAATGTGATTTAGATAAATTTGCTCTTAAACCTCTGTCTGGAGGATCACATTCATCTTGCCCTTCATTAAGGTTTAAGTTTCCAAAGTGTCTGGAGAGACATCATGAGGAAGGAAGATGGATGGCCTGGGAGAGATGAACCCCAC